ACCCTCTTTTATGATGCTCGCCAACATTAAAAAGTGATCCTCCGTTTTAAGGAATGAATTGCATGCCATTCGAAACAGAAATAATTAAGAGAATCTTTGACGATAGTTTCATCCTCTGGCCAAACCGGTTATTTTCCCAAGTGGCGCCTCGTACGTTATGCCGCTTTTGATTGGCTTTTCTCCCATCGCTTCATGTCGTCAGACCACGTACCATTATAGATTGTGTCGTCATAACATGAAAGAGGGGACATTCTTCCAGTTCTTTTGAAAAGAATGTATCATTGATTAATAATTCTTTCTTATGCAAAACAAAAATGGGAAATAATCTTGTGATACTGGGAAGATCTTCATGATTTATTTTTAAAATCTTTGCAAAATATTCAAAAAATCGTGGCAGTTTTTCGAAACAAAATATTCCCAAAGGGAAAAAGCACTACTTCACACGAAATTCACCTCAGTTCTAGCTACTTAGGCCGTGGTACAAGAAAAAACCGTCGATAAACCATTTTAACACATTCACCATAAGAATGTGTGAACCATTCTATATAAGAAACGCAGAAAAGTCAAAAAGCTTTGATTTCTTTTCAGATTAAACTTTCTCTTTTAGATTGTAGAGGCTCGTCGAACTTTGCACTTGCGTCAAGTTTTTCCCGTTCGGGTACCTCATTGCGCTTCATGCACACTGCAAAAAATACAAAAAAAAGAAAGCTGAGAACTAAATTCGAACTTCTGTACTGTTTGCTCACACTAATAAAATACCGATTGATACCGCGCGGTTTGGTAGACCGTGCGGTAATTTCAGTTCCACTGATGGTATACCAGGGAATGTAACAGACTGATATCGGAGTGATAACCCGGCAGTATTTAACCGGTTTTGATGACATAGGTTATTTAGTATAAGGTAGATTGACCTTAATTAAGCAAAAATACATCGGCTAACATTTCTCTAATTTATTGACTCATCTCCACTTCATGGACACTTCGAAATCACTTCAAGTGAAGTGATTCTTTTTCCTCTCATTGGAAGAGTTCACAATATGCGTGTAAAATCAGAGATTCGACGAAACAGCAGCAGCATGGATGAAGCTCTTGTCAACATTTTTTCATATTCACTTCGATATCAATAATCTCTGATTTTGTTTGTTTAAGTTACTGTATCAAAGATAACATTCTAAATTTGTCAGCCACATATTACAGTAAAATCAGTGTGTGTGTCTCAAATTCAAAAGAAATACAGTTTATTTTAACATTTTCTCATCCCCTCTTCTCTCTCACAATGATTATCTTATGTTTTTGTTTAGATAAAATAGAATCATCACTTATGACAACAAAGAATATATTTCCAGAAAAATCGAGATTTATTTGGAGATTTTCATGTAAAAAATTGAATCAATTACCATCTTGTATCTATAAAAATTTGAATGATAATCAACAACAAATGACAAATGAAGATGAATTACAACAGCGACAAGAATTAGCATTGTTTATATATCAATTAGGAGTTCGATTAAAAGTGTAAGAATAAATAAAAATGTATTTGTATATGATAAATAAATTTTTTTATCCTCTTTCGTTTCTTTTCTTAGACAATTTACCTGTATCTTCTCAGCTGTTGTCTATATGCATCGATTTTTAATGATACATCCATGTCAAGAATTTAAACAAGTATAAATAGAAATACTTTTGTTTATCTACAATGAAAAATAATATCTTTTTTCTTTTTAAGGAAATTATTGGTGCTTGTTGTCTATTTCTATCGTGTAAAGTAAATGAATGTCCAAGAGCCGTTTTAGATGTTAGTGAACAAGTATTTAAATTAAATAAAGATCAAAATGAACAAATGAAAACGAAAGAAAAGGTAAATATTCAAATATTTAGTTGTATAATCATTATTTTAGTTTTTATTTTGTTTTGTTTTGTTTGTTAAGATCATTCAAACGTATTGTGAAAATATTGTTGAATATGAAAATGTTCTACTATCGACACTTGGTAATAAAACATTCAAGTCACAATGTGTAGGAGAGTTTTCAATTTGGCAAAACGAATCTTTTTTCATATATGAGAAAGGAATTTTGTGTCCGATGTGTATAGAAATGCGCTCGGGATATAAATGATCTCGTCCGAGGTAAAACTCATTTGATGGTGAAACCTTTTGAATAAGCCTCATTGACAGAGATGGGTGAGTCATTTGAAGAATCATCTGGAAGTCTTTCCCGCTAAAAATTTTCGAGCTACTTTTAGTAGCGTTCGATTCAGAACGCCACTAAAAGTAACGGGTGGGCCGTAATAAATGGGTCAAAATGAGATACTTTCCTTTAATGCGGAGACTTGGCTCAGAGCTCATTCAATAGATAATTGAAAGCTCTACAAAACTGTCCATTTTCATTTTTCAAATACATTTTTTTTCTTAGTAAAAAATATAAAAGATCGTCACATACTCAATTTCAAATTGTGATCGGACGTTTTTCTGGATATCTGTTCGATTTGTATTCCATTTTTCCAGATGAAGTTTACCAGTAAACATAAAGTATGAATCGAAAGGCAATTTTGTTCTCTATATTTTTACGTTCTTTTCAAAATTTTTGCTTTTATGGTTTGTCAGAAATAGGCTAGGAATTGAGAGGTGGTAGTCAGGATGTTACAAGCATTGAGACCTTGCATCAAAGATCACGTGTTTTCATTACTCAAAACCCTCAAGCTCTACCGAGCTTTTGTTTCAGACATAACCAGTTTTCCGTGCTGTATCCGAAACTAGTGTTAGGAAATCAATAAAAAAGTATCGGAATTGGTAAAGCTTGGTGAAAATTGACCTTTATCTATATTTTTCACCAAGCTTTACCAAGTCCGGTACTTTTTTATTGATTTTGACCAGTTCTAGCACTAGTTTCGGATACAACAGAGAAAACTGATTACGTCTGAAACAAAAGCTCGGTTGAGCTTGGGGGATTCGAGTGATGAAAACATGTGATCTTCGATGCAAGGTTTTAAGGCTTGTAACATCCCTAGGCGGTCGTCTTTTCATCACACTTTCGGAAAAATGGATTTTTCAGAACCAGATTAGTGTGCAAAAAGTTTATTTTCACACAGTTAAATGCAGAATTCAATGCTAAATATACTGCTGTGTCTTTCACTTTAAAAAGTGAAAACTGTAATTTTTCATAAACTCAAAGATATAAGTTCAAAACATTTGTCAGAAAAGTGATTATTTTTGTAATTTCACATTTTTTAATTCAAAAAATTTCCTGATCCATCCCTCTTTCAATAAGTTACGAGCTACAGCAAAAGACGAAAAATTTCACAGTAAATCTAATGATATGCTTAAGATTCAAAAAATCAAAGATCATTTTATCAATTTCTGCCTGTCACAATGTAAAATTCAGCATGATCTATTACATTTTTTACTGAAAAAAAAAATGTATTTGAAAAATAGAAACGGGCAGTTTTGTATAGCTTTCGATTTTCTATCGAATGAATTCTGAGTCAAGTCTCTACATAAAGGAAAATATCTCAAAAATAGGAAAACATTTCGACGCGTTTATTAAGTCCACTCGTTAGAAAAAAAATGATATATTACAATAAATTTTACCGCCTTCATAGATTCAACCTAGTCTCTGAAACGCAACTGACTTGAAAAAATCCAGGAGGGAAACAGCTGATTTTTGAGCTTAAAAAATCAGTTTAAATTGAAAATCGCTTATGATTTTATCGTTTTTTTCTTTACTTTCAATATGTCTGATTCCCATTTTGTACAAATAAAGCAGGTGCCACACTATTTATCGCAGTCTGTTTACTTGATTTCCCAAACAAATCACAGGAAATCGAAAAAAATCGACGAAAATCAGAAAAATCGCCAAATCAGCTGTTTCCTCCTTGAAAAAAATCACTCAAACTTTTCGAAAAGCTCGAGTCGGTTACTTCTCAGGGACTAGGCTGAATCTACGAAGGTGGTAAACTTTATTGTGATATATCATTTTGTAGGCCAAACAAATCTGAATCGATCGCTACTGAAAGTAATTCGCAACTTTTTAGGAAGAATGACTTCTAGATGATTCTTCTTCAAGTGACTCGACCATCTCTGCTCTAACGAATGATCTTCGTCACTCATCTTGTAACTGACGAGGGAACATATGTAACTGACCAATCGTTTTTTCAATGAAATCTAGTGGAGTATAGGTAAAAAATAGTACTGAATCCGAATATCGGCATGAGACGGGTCGCTTGGCCCTGCGAGTATCAGGTTTCCAGAGTCAGAAACTTTTTTTTGATCTGTTTCGATTGTAGAGCACATCGAGAAACCTATAAAAAACTAGTTTTGGGGTTTCTTAAAGTGTTTTTGCTTTCTCAAAAAACCTCAGCGTACGGAAAAGAGAAGAAAAGTCCGTCTGGCGGACTGCAGAAAGGTTCCAAAATTCTGAAAACTAGTTTTTTATAGGTTTCTCGATGTGCTCTACAACCGAGATAGATCAGAAAAAAGTTTTAGAACAAAAAGTTTCTGACTCTGGAAACCTGGTTTCCCAGAAATCCGGTACTCGCAAGGACTAGCGGCCCGTCTCATGTCGATATTCGGATTTAGCACTATTTTTTACCTATACTCCACTAGATTTCATTAAAAAAACAATTGGTCAGTTACATATGTTCCCTCGTGAGAACATTTTGAGTGTCGTTTCCATTTTTCTTTTTTGTATCTGTTTGTTTTCTTTGTCGATGATCTTTCAAATAGAATAAAGTATTTTGTATTCTATTTTTATCTTGTTTATCTAGGATTTTGTGTTACAGTTGAACAACCATACATGCAAATTGCAAAAACAACACAAGCACTTTCATGTAAGAAAAAATAATCTATTTATATGAAACAATATCTTTTATATATTCAATATTTTTGTAGTATCACGTGAATTGAATGATATAGCCTATAATTTAGCAACGAAAAGGTATGACAAAATATAGTTATGACTCTTCTTACAACTTATTAATTTTAGTATATTTTTAACATTATTTTCAATGAAATATTCAACAAATTTGATTGCTTGTTTTTCAATCTATTTAGCCGCATCGATGTCAGATATTACGGTAAAATTTCATATAGAGAGAGAAAGAACAAATAAAAGACGATAATCTAATTCTTTTATTATTGTAGATTCAAGATAATCCGAATGGAAGTGAATGGTTTCACTTAGTTAATGAAGAGATTACTGAACAACGGTTGATGGGTATGTCTATTGCCTAAGTATTTCGATCTATGACGAGATTTTTTGAATTTTTGAATGCGGTTAGTGTGTCATATTCTAGAGCAATCCCCTTTTATTTTCCCATCGTTGGCAAAGGCAAATTCTCTGACAAAATTTTCGATATGGTTTTCTAGAAATTCAAGTTTACATTATGATCCTCGTAGAACTTTATCTGATCACGCTCATAATTAGGGATGTTCGGTTCTTCATCGATAATCGAAACCGCGATGCCAGTTCTCACAATGGAATCGGAACTGCGGTTTCTAAGATAGTTCCTTTTTTGCTCGGAACCGAGACTTTTTGACTTGCCTTTCTTTTAACAAAATGAAAATACACTATTGACAAAACTGCAGAAAGATATATTTGCCTGTGATCATTTAAAAGAATCCTTTCGTTTACCACAAAATGAATTCCATTTCGTTGAATTTTTACTGCCTGAAAATTATTTTCCGATTCTAAGCTGAGAGCCGCGAACGACGGTTCTGTTCTAAGTTCGGAATTGGAACGGTGGTTCTTTTCGTTTCGGTTCGAACTTCGAGAATCGGAATCACGGTTCTATTCGTTTCGGTTCCACATCAGGGACAGGAATCGCGATTCTCGGTTCCGAAGGCGAGAATCGAACTTCGCTACTCATAATTTTATCTTCAGATACCTGAAACGGTATCTGACTCTTCGGCATCAAGTTAGAAAAAAAATAAATGAAAGAAGTTCTACAGAAAACGAAAGCTGTTGATTTTAAGAATCGTTTAGTTCGAAAAGGAAAAGTAGCCAAAAACGAAAATTGAAGTTCGAAAATATCATTCCAGATATCGATGGTAATATTTTGATTCGATCCCATAAAATTTCGCGAGGATCATAAAGTGACTCGGTTGGACAGAGTCAAAGTTTGAATCACAAAAGTTTCGTCTAAAAAGAAAAATAAGTCAATTTAGTAATAACATGATATCCTGGAAACATGAGTATTTAACTGTACAATCTAAGAATGAAAATATTTATGTTGACAATTGAGAACAGAAAGGGAAAATGGAAACGTTATTAATAATTTACACGACTTTGTAATAGTGATTTGAGTCCAATGATGGTAATCGTGTATGATATTAAAGAATGTGAGAGCAGTCGAATCAAAGGCCGTTTTTTACTTATTTTGATTCTTTCCCGATGTCAAAAACGGTCACATTAATAGTGCATTAGATGCTTTTTATGGGTTATTAACAGATCGTTAACCATAGAAGTACAAAAATGGGTCTCGCGAGACCCTAGTTTCGGTATTTTTCCAATCACATGTTTAAAAACTTTGTTTGAAGTGCGTAATTTTTCCAAAACTAACCTATTTCTTGTTAGAAAAAAAGGTCCACTAGGACCTATGTTGATATCCAAAGTTCGAAATTATTTTGGAACTTCTAGGGTTAAATGACAAACTTTTAGCCATCTAACATAATTTTTCAATCGTTTTTAGACATTTTAACTAACGAGGAAACTCCCCCAACTGTCCGATCGTTTTTTTAGAAATCTACAGGGTTGTAGGCAATCGACCATGCTCGACATCCCTCACCTCTACATGACCTTTCTCGCAAAGTTATAGAATTTACAGCAAAAGCTCTAAATGTTCATTGTCAGCTCAAAGCTACAGACATAAGAAGAAATTAATTTAGGGCTTTTCTTGTAAATTCTATAACTTTGCTAAGAAAGGTCATGTAGAGCTAGGGAATGTCTCATTTTGATCAGAATTTTACGCACTAAAAGCATGACTTATTAAGAAAAGTTTCGGAGGCCTTTTGGAGTTTCTGGAAAACTAGTTTTCTAGAAAACCAGTTTCTGGAGACCTAGCAGCACGGTTCATGTTAATATTCGAAATCAGCATGGTCGATTACCTACAACCCAGTAGATTTCATTAAAAAAACGATCGGACGGTTGGCGGAGTTCTCCCGTAAGAACATATTAAGGTCTAAAAGTGGCGTTTTTCCAATGGCCAAAAACTGTTCAGAAAAACGGCTATTTTATAATGATCCTTTTTTTTACCATAAATGGTTGTTATTAGTCACCTTTCGAATATTTAAACAGCCTATTTATTTATTACCTGATATTCTCAGAAAATAGTAAATCGCTAATTTTCTGATATTTTTGACATCGGTCTCAGAGGCAGAAACTACTTCCCTTCTGTCAGCCATGTTCCGCTAATTTATAGAATCGAAAAAGGGAAAATTTTCTAACTTTTTTAAGCAAATTAAAGGGGGCAAAAGCCTGAATGAAAAAAACATTTCGAAACTTAAAAAATCGAATTTTTTTCCTCATAAGGCGATAAATTTAAGAAAATTCGTACCTCCCCAGCGAACGGTCGGCAAGGAGTCACAGTGGATAATTTTGATATATCATGTGGATTTTTTCATCGTTAAAAACGATTTATTTTATTTTTAGTTTAATTTGACTCCCCATACCTTAAATTGTCCGTTTCAAATAAAAGTAAACGACTTGAGACTTGATAAAAACATTTTTTACATCAGAATTAACTGAGGAAAATCCCTGCCTGACTAAATCTTGTTAAATATTTTGTGTTATACATCATTCCATGCAGTTTAACGCCATGATTCCAAATATCATCTCAGTTTTCATTAGAAATGTTCGTGGACTGATAAAAACAAATTCTATTTGTAAAACTAGATGATTCTGAAGAGATTTAGAAAAAATGATGCTATCGATGCTAAAATTTGAATACAAACATACCTTTTGACAAAGTTTGAATCATTTTCAAGTTTTGAAGAACTTTGTGCACTCATTCAACTGATCACAGTTCTACGGAAAATTAGTTAGCTTGAAAAATGATTTTATTCATTTTCCTGGAACTTAAGTCCAAATATAAAACAATTTCTTGTCTAATAGATAGTCGAAAGAGTATAGATTCATAACCTGAACTACTTCAGTCTTCTTTTGATTAAATAAGAAAAACATTTTACATCACCTCTCGATGTTTTCAGACTAATTTTTGGATAACGAGGGAAGGCCCCCAAGTGTTAGTCTCCGTTTTCAATGAGATATATATCAGTTTGTAGAACTTGATGAGCTATTCAAGATGGCTTACAGCGTTCATACTCATACGCTGTAGGTAAAGAGTTAGATCGATCTCAACTTCGAAAGAATCACTCTG